GCACCCCAGTCCCCAAGCACCCCACTATCCCAGCACCCTGGCACCCCAGCAACCCAACATCCCAGCACCCTGGCACCCCAGTACCTCAGCATCCCACCCCCCTGCGACTGCTGGCACCCCATCATTCCTGTACCCCAGCACCCTGGCACTGCTGGCACCCTGGCACCCCTTTGTCCTGGCACCCTGGCGCCCCAGCACCCTGGCACCCCAGTCCCCAAGCACCCCACTATCCCAGCACCCTGACACCTCAGCACCCATTATCTTGGCACCCTAGCACGCCGGCACCCCAGCACCCTGGCACCCCAGTACCCTATGACCCTGGCACCCCAGCAGCCCGGCACCATGGCATCATGGCACTGTGGCACTGTACCATCCTGGCACCCTGGTACTGAGCACCCCAGCACCCTGGGGTACCGTACCCCTGCACCCCAGCACCCCAGCATCCAGGCATGCTGGCACCCTGGCATACCCGTACCCCGGCACCCCGGCACCCCAGCACCCTTTCACCTTGGCACGACTGACTGGCTGCACCAGCTGTGCGCAGCTGGAGAGCCCTGGCTGGCCACGGAGGGCAAGCGTGTTCGCACATGCGTGTGCGCATGCCTGGGGGCGCGTGTGCGCACACGCGTGCGTCTCCAGTCTGTGTGCGTGTGGCCACGCGCACACGTACGGTGGGGGCATCCGTGTGCGCGCGCACGCTTGCGAACCCGGCGGGTTTGCACGCGCGTGTGATCAGGGGGCGCACACGCGTGTGTGCCCGGTGCATGCGTGTCTGCACGTGTCTCCAGCGTGCGTGCGTACCCTCAGGCATGTGTGTGCCTGCCTGTTTGTGCACCCTGGCACGCGTGCACACCCGTGTAGCGCACATGCCTGCAGCCGGGCGGCCGGCACCGATCCTGCCTGGCACGCCGCCGGGGGCACGGTGCTGTGCCGGCTCCCGCCAGGACGCCTGGGTCCCCGCCAGGTCCCCACGGCGGTGGCACAAGGACAGGGACACCCAGAGCCCACGGGTGGGGGGTCTGGGTGCTGGGCGGGGGCCGGGCTGGGCAGCGGGTGCTGAGCAGGGATTAGCACCCGGATTAAAACAGAGAAATTGAGGACGAACGAAGGACAAAATTCCCTGTCACCGGCCCGGCAGCCGGCGAGGGGGACGATGGCGGCGAGGGGGGGACATCAGGGGTGGCGCCCGGCCGGGGGGGGGCACGGGTGCAGGGGCACCCTGGGTACACCCTG